TCTCCGAGTCCCAGACCTTTCCCTTGTTCCCATCTTAGGGTTCCATTTCTCATCTCATCCACCCCTGAAAACTAGCAACCTCCTCCTTAGGTTGATTCTCGCTTGGCAGTGCTGCTGCTTCCAGAGGTGTGGCACTTCTCTGCTTGGTACAGATCCAGCATTCCCAGATCCGCAATAACTTTAGTGTAAACAGTAGGAATAGTATCTCTCCCATTTTGAGCCAGTGTGGTGCTGGCAAGAGGACTTTTAACCATGCTTTAACTGGTCCCAAGATGCTGGGTGAATACGCATGAAGTAATGGTTCACACTCAGCCTGGCTGATAGCCCATCAGCAAAGATCCCATGTGCAGCAGCTTTTCAGAAAAGCCCTGTGTACTTGGGCACTGTTAACGTTTTTAAGACTTTTGGCCACAATTTACCCTGTAATGCAGTAGCATGCTATGATCCATGGTGGTTGTCCAGATGGCTGCGACTTTCCCCACTAGCTGGGGGGCCGCAGTTCAGTGGTACATGAAGAAAAGCTCTCTTTTGTAAGGCTTCAGAATGGGAGGTCCTGTAGGCAATAAAACCAATAAAAGGATATTTCCTTCCCTCTGTAGTCCTAACCAACTTGTAGAAATCACTGCCACATTTGCAAGGCTAAGAGCTTAGTACATTTTTAAAAAAACAGAATCACCCTTAGTAACAGTATAGCATCTATAGTTACATTAGAAAGAATAAGTACTCAGGCTTTAAGTTAGAACATAAAGCAACCACTGACTGCCTAAGGCTAGGAAGAAGTGCATTGCCTCAAAACTGCCAAGTATAGTTAGTTTCAATTTGAAATGCCCTTCTCTGGTTTTCTTTGCAAGTAGCACCTTTCCCCTTAAGAATTCCCAGCCTGTTGTTAATTTAGTCATGTTGATTCCTGTAGTCCTCATGGTTTCTCAGGATTGGAGGTTTCCTAACAATGGTATTTAATCATTAATTTTGGTAATTTAATTTCTGATAATTTTACATCTGTAATAAGCTTGTGACCAGTTCAGGCACTGCTTTGCTTATTACACAGAATTCCAACCTGAATGGGACACAGAACAGCATTAGCATCTCTATGGACTATAAGGAAGTACATTTCAAGATGCATTTCAAGTAGATGGCAGAACAAGGAGCAATGGTCTCAAGTTGTGGTGGGAGAGGGCCAGATTGGATATTAGGAAAAACTGTTTTACTAGAAGGGTAGTGAAGCATTGGAATGGGTTACCTAGGGAAGTAGTGGAGTCTCCATCCCTAGAGGTATTTAAGTCTCGGCTTGACAAAGCCCTGGCCGGGGTGATTTAGATGGGATTGGTCCTGCCTAGAGCGGGGGGCTGGACTTGATGACCTTCTGGGGTCTCTTCCAGTTCTATGATTCTATAAGGGGATGGTTGGATGAAATAACATGATCTTGGTAACTAATTGACCATTCATTATCAGTTGGAAATAGGTCAATGGAGGGATGATAGGAGTTGCTATAGGGAACTTTCTGGGTGTCTGGCTGGTGAGTCTCGCCCACATGCCCAGGGTTTAGCTGATCGCCATATTTGGGGTCGGGAAGGAATTTTCCTCCAGGGTAGATTGGCAGAGGCCCTGGAGGTTTTTCGCCTTCCTCTGTAGCATTGGGCACAGATTACAGCTGAAGGACTCTCTGCATGTTGGGTCCTTCAAAGTATTTGAATGATTCAATATCTTTGATATAGGTGAGAGGATTATTCTAAGAGGGGTGGTTGAGATTCTGTGGCCTGCACTGTGCAGGGGGTCAGACTAGATGATCATAATGGTCCCTTCTGACCTTAAAGTCTATGAGTCATACCCTTCTGAAAAGGCCGAATCAACATATAACTTTAGGAGGATTTTCAAAGACTGGATAACAAATACTGCCAACCCTGAGCTCATAGGTAGCCCTGGGTTATGTTTAAAAGATATCATTCTGCATCTATGACAAGTGAACTCAATGCACACTCACCTGTTTTTAACTGAGATCTGCAAATCCCCAATTATGGATTGAAAGCACAAGGGGCAATTTCAGGTGGAAGCCAAGCAAGTGCTAGTCAAGAGATCCAAGCGTCTCCATTTATAGCCAGTGGTCAACGAAGAGGTGACTTTTTTCCCCCCTCTAAGTGAAAGTCACTCAAATTTTTAGAAGTACAAAGCTTGCATTTTTCAACTCTCTCATACAGAGAAGGGATGAGATTAAAATTAGTTCCACTGTTTCCATTTTACAAAATGTAATGGGTAATCCAGCAGTTCCACAACATTTTTCTGTAGTGTGGTTTGTGGTTTAATCGGGAGATTACATGCAGATGAATTAGCTTCTCTGGAATTTAGAAACAAGTTCAACAGCTACATCCCCAGCAGAGCAATGCTGAGACAGTGTTTCTGTATGATTTGCTTGCTAGACTGCAGTTTTGTCCTTTCTGGGAGAAGTGACATCACATGTTCTACTTGTGTTTACCTCCCCCGCTCCCATCTGCTCAGTTTTTCTCCACTGAAGTCAGCCAGCATCACATGACCAAGCAGTCCTCCATGGACCAGTAGGGTAAACTAGAAGCAGCAACACAGGAAATGTGTAGACTGATGGATTTCTGGAAATTTATCCCTGGATAGGCATGTCTTGTTTGGGGTGATAGTAGCTACCCCATATTAAAAGCTGATCATTGGTGTCTAATGGAAGCCCAAGTTTGCTTTGCTAAAACCCTCAGCTGAATTTTCCTGATTTCAGAGGTTTTGAGGGTGCAGGGATTGGAATGTTCCCCATCATCCAGTCTCGTGTTGGGGTTTTGTATTTATCATCACACCCACCCCTTTACAAACATCCTGGCTAAGGCTGCAGCACTGGAGTCTAAGTAACTTATAATTTCCATTTTAACTACAGCGTTGGGGGGGGGAAAAAAACTGTCTTGAATTATCCCAAAGTACTTTACTATTAATGGGCAAACCCCAGCAGCTATTTGACATCAGATAGCAATACTACCTACCTGCTTCAGGTCCCAGTTCAGCAAGGTACCTAACTTCAAGCGTCCCTCCAAAGTCAAGTGTGTAAGTAACTTGCTGCATTGGGGGTTGAATACCAATTTAAATTGCAAAGGGAATCTTTACAGTTAAATAGACTACTAAAGGGCCCAGACTGAAAGCTCAATGGAGCCCATGGGGTGCTGTTTGCCTAGGGTAAGCCATGTCATTACAGAACTTCTAACCTGGAATTAAAATGGATAATTACCATTGTTTGATAATTATTTCCAAACTAGGAGATGTATTTAAATAGCATTTTAATGTCCGTTTCCATGTTTGTAATGCTACAGTTCATAAATTTAAAAAAAAAAAAACTAAAAAGATAGAGCAGCTTTTCATTTTGCTTTTCCACAAACACGTGTTTTATTTCTCAACTCTCTACTATAATGGTAAGAAATCTTGCAGCCAAAACCACTACCAAAGTTTATTAAAAAAAAAAAAGTAGTACAATGCAATAAAATCTAAGAAAGGTTGACTTTATTTCCATCCTAGTTTCTATCCATAGCAGCTAGTTTCATTCAAATGAATTTGTTTAAAGTGCGTCAATTGATGGGATAGACATTTACAGCTCTCAGCTGTTTCCTTGCACTCCTCAATGTGCTAATATTGGGGCAAGGGGCAAGACCAGGAGCTAGACCACTAGTCCTGGGGTCGGCACCTATTGTGCTTCTTTCTCCAGACTCTGCTGGCGCTGCTGGGTAATGACTGCTGTTCTAGAGTGCTGGCACTGTCCTGGTCACATACTGCCAATCATTAAAGATCTAGTCACCCCTACCTGCTTCAGCCCCCCAAATCTCCCACCCCTTTAGCAATAGTGGTTAGGCTGGGTTGGTGCTGGGGCTGCTGAGATTTTGCTAAGCCCTGGGAGGAGCTGGTTCTGGGCCCCCCACAAGGGGCAGGGCCTCAGGCAGAATGTGGAAGATGGGGGGGGGGTACCATCCCCCAGTCCCCCAGCCAGTTCTTCAGCTCCACCAGGGGCTCCGGAGGCAATTTCAGGGGCACAGGGTTCTGTCCATTGCTGGGAGCACTGTGTCCTTTTCAATCGCCAGGCCCCAGGGCGGCTGCTTCCTTTGCCTCCCCTCTCTCCATGCCCGTCAGCAGCCCTGGTTGGTGCATTCATTCCATGCCTTCCTTCGGTCCATACCTCTTACTGATGTGCATGGCTTCAGTTGCCAGCACTTTAAAAAAAAAAAGTGAAGATCTTATGACAATTGCCAGATGTACAGATTACATCTGGTTTATAGAGCATTCTAACACACCATGCTCTTCAGTGGATCTATATGACTCTGCTCTATTCCTTTGCCATGTGCCTCTCCCTCCCACGTGACTGAATATTTAGCAAGAAGGCATGAAAACAGAACTCCATGGTCTCCTCCTCCTCAAAGCTCTTTCCTCTTAGCCCAGAGGACAGAACGGCTTGAACTGGGTGAAATGGAAAAGAACGCAATAGGAGAGCAGTCTCAAAGCCATTCAGTTAGGTTTCCAACACTGTTGACTGGGAGGATCGCTCTGAAGAGAGAACAGTTCCTTCCTGCAGACTTTCACTTGAGATGCTTGCCTGAGTGTGTTGGAGACCTTACCAGGATTCCTGCAAACTCAGTCCAAGGAGAAACACAGAGCTGACAAAACACAGAGGACCATTCAGAAAGGACCATTTCACTACAGGTTGCAAGTCCTCAGAGCTGACCCACAACTACTATCAAAGTAGCATTAGTTGCTATTAATTATGGCTACACTACTTTTAGTTTAGATTTATGGCTTTGAGTGTTCCTGCAACCCTATAGTTTTATCTTCATTTGTCCTAATCCAGCTTCGAAAGAACAGCTCGTGTTCTGTGGATACAATAGACCATACTATCACGGGGTGCTCAAAACCTCAACTTTTCTGGAGTTCCACTGAAAGCAGAGGCTCAAGCATCCCTAAAATGTATTTAGACTGAGGCACAAATACCAGAAAAGTAAAAGCTTTGCATCTTTAAAAAAAAAAAAAAGATTATCTTGACACTGGCTATTTTCAGGCAGAGAAGGGTGTACACTTGGCATCTACGAGTTGTTGCACGTGATAAGCCAGAGGCACAGCCATGGTTCTTGCCCTGAATAATGGCAAGCCTGCTGGTTGCATCATCTAAAGTGGCTTTTCTCTTCTGCTGAAGTTATCATGGAATTTATGGGCCACTGTTTAAGGTAGGTCCCACTTCCTTTCACGGAATCCTTAGTGCTCTCTGAGGGGCAGTGGCTTGATGAGAAAAGCAGACTAAACTGGCAACTGGCTTTTTTCCTTGTCACCCATCTTCTTCCTTTCGGATTTCTTGTCTTCATAGTGATTATTCAACGGTGCCTTGTGTACTCAGACTCTAAATACAGTCTCAGTCTTCTGCTACCTGGACAACAGAAGGCAGAAGAGACACACACTCTGAAGACTAAGCATCTACAAGCAGCAGCAGTGGAACACTACGCTAAGTGCACACATTGTTCATCTACTGTACTTTTTCCTGCAGTTGATGCCACTACAAAACAATACTCCACCCACTTGCTGCTGGCTCTAATAAATACCAGTGACTAAGGCGGTGAGGCATTGTCATGTGACAATTTAGTGTTGCCGAGTGATGGCTTTTACTAGGAATTTAAGATAAAATTCACCGGTACTAGGCCTGTGCCTGTCCCCAGGTCACTTTTAATATTGATAGCAATCAGCAAACAGGCTTCATCTTGCAGCCTGTCCCACCATCTCACAATGGAGTGCTATTCAGCAGGGTTCTGTCCATGGCTGAAATGAGTCTGGTTCCTTTAACCCAGTAAATTAGCTCTAAAGCTACGCAAAAGCTTTAGACCAATCCAGGGCTGAAATCTTGAGTTTAGATTCAAGTACTGATTGGACAACCCCTTGAAAAAAAGGCAACCAAGGGTGAATTTTTTTAAAAGCAAAGGGCTCCATAAAAATGGTTATTTGGAAAAAAAATAAACTGGTTCGCTACAAAGGATAGAGACGGTGCACGCTGCCTTACGAGTATAGCCTGACAGAGAGAAGAGAGAGAGAGAATATAGGCAGGAGAACCAACACAATCTAATGCACTTTCAGGTGCTATGGAATGTGCTACTCTCCACAACAAGGAGAATCACTTAAATTTTCTAAGCAAACAAAGTCCAATGGCAGCTTCAGCAAAATGTGAGTTTGTGGATTGTAAGAAATGACCACCATTACTTTTGGAATATCACAGCAGGTCATCTACAGACAGCTACAGAGAACTTAGTTTTCTTCATCTGAGGAGAGGCCTTCAATCTCATCTCTGTCTCCTCCGATAGCCATCCAGAATGCTTTGGCCACCTGTGGACCAAAAGCAGTAAAACAAGATTAAGACACTTGAAACTTCTGCTACATGCTGACGAATGTAAAGTGCTGTACAGGTTGGACCTGGTCCAGTACCCTTGGGACTTGGCAAGTCCCACACGAGGGAGTTTACTGGAGCAGCAGGGGACAACTCTGGCCCGTCTCCTGACAGACTGAGCCCTCCTGGGGTCTGTCAGCAGACCTGGCCGTGTTCTCTTCCTGGCTGCTGGGCTCTGCTGATGGCCTGGCCATGTAGCTCACTGCCCTCCCGTTTCCAGATCCACAGCCGGCTCCAGGGCCGTTGGGCTCCTGGCTCCACAGTCGCCAGGTTCCATTGCCCCTAGGCTCCTGGCTCTGCTCCCTGCCACCAGCCTCTTGGAGAATCTCTGCTCCAGCAACATCCATGGTCCTGCCAGACCAGAGAGGTTCGCCTGTTCTTAAATAGAGTAGCAAGTTATATTCAGTACTCCTAGCTGAAGTGTTATTGTCTTTGTCTAGAATGGACGTGACAATTCAGAGGGTTTAGGATTTCTGCAAGACAGAATCCATTGGTGACATTTGCCATCATTAAGACCTGACCTAGTTCCCACTGAAGTCAACGACCTTTTTCAATTGATTTTAATGGGAGCTGATTCAAGCCTTTAGCTGTTCTACTGAATTATTTCTGAAGTTCCGATAACTGTAACTCTCCCTCAACTTTAAAATTCCAGATTGTGTTTTCCTGGGAGATAAGTAGCAGGCCCAGTTGCAAGCCCACTGGCCAGATTAGCTCATTTGTATTCCGTGTGGAAGATATACTACATGTATAGATCTACAGCAGCAGATCTATTTTTCTAGTCATTCCTCACTTAAAATCCTCAAAGGCAGCTGCTATTCTGAAAACATTCAAAGCTGGAATCACATTTTTGAAGAATTTTAAGTTCTTGTTGCAAATCTCACCTTCTCGGCATGTAGTTTTCTCTGTTCGTGGGGCAATGTTGCTGCTTTGTCTGTAAGGAAAACAAGTGTAATGTTAAGGGGTAGCAGAGTTACTCAGAGAGCACGCGAATGCCAGCCTATTGCAGTGCACAGAGCTACTGGAGAATGAGAAAGGTAAGAGTAGAGACTTAAATTTCAAAAATTTACCTACATTGGAAATTCAGGAGTTCTAAGTACTTTGGATTTCTAAAGCTTCCTTAAATCTCAGGATTAGCATGAATTTCTAGGCTTTTTTTAATCAAATAATTCTTGTCATGGGTTTGTTTACAGACAATTGTGGAATATAAGACCATGATACAAAGCTAGTGTAGAATATTGGTTAGCTACTCCCAAGGGGTCTACTGTGGTGTTTTTAAAAATAAAGCACTATTTACCTACGATGAGATGTTCTACTAACAAGGGACTATTGGTTTCAAGGTAATACTAGTTACGGTGAAAGAGGAAGTACAAACGGTCAAAGTGTTCAACAAGATTTCCACCACTAGAACAGTAACTTTCCAGATGTTTGGATGGACACAGTGAAAGTCCCTGGTCTGCTAGCTGGCTTTTTGAATATTGACTTTTGGGTTACAGACAGTGTGCTCTTCATTTACAGATACGGTACCTTTCATTTCTTTCAGCTTTGAGAACAGTCTTTCAAAATTCTCCAAATCTCCTTCTCCTGTGGTAAGACTGGCTAGCTCTTGAATATCCATATCTAACAAGGGATCTGAAATAAGCATATTAAACGTTGATCTAAGCCGGGCTGTTCTGGCTGGCTTGCACATTAGAGTTTGATGAAAAATTGCTGGATGATATTAAAAAAATAATATATGGAGTACTAGTGAAAGTCTCCTGGCTCTCACTGCAATGTAATGAATAAAACATTTAAAATTTCCATTGGTTCAAGGCCTTAATTACTGTTACTCAGTTCTGACATGACACACATTACAAGGTGCTTTGAACTTTATCAGATTTTAAGAACATGGTTTAAAATGGCTATAAACATGTCAAAATTTAAGAGGTTTTCTTGCTGGTCATAACACTGTTGGCCTTAGAAATGGCTGGGGAGCATTACAAATTGAAGTGCTTGACTTAGGCAAAAACTAAGCAACACCATCAATCCCCAAAAAACTAGGATTTGGACAGTGCCCCTTAAACACTAAGCTGCAGGAAGGGGGCCACTCCAGCCCAGAGGGGCCTGCCACTAGAGGAGTGCGGGAGGGGACGCTCCAACTTGGCCTCAGCAGCCTCTGTCCGTGGCGGGCCCAGCCCAGCTGGAGCAGCACCATGGGTGGAGGGTGATCCAACTCGGCCAGAGCACCTGTTTAACTGGTTAACTGTTTAAACTGGATTTTAAATCCCTTCCACTAGGTTCCTGTCACTATCCAGTGTTGGGGTGCGCATATGTTTGCATATGCATCTTTCATCACGTGAAACTTTTTTCTAATAGGGAATACTAAATTCTTTGAGCTAATGGTAGGAAATATAGACTGACAGTAATGAAGGCTAAGATGTGTGTACTGTCCCTGAAGTGCTATTCTGCCACAAGCAAGCATGAAACAAAATTGCTTATCTGTAAATCTACTTCTCTGAAGTGTGTTTTTTTTTTTTTTTAAACTCAATTCCCACTCTTGGTCTTATGCTTAAAAGTCCCAAGAGCAAGCAGCCAGTCAACATGGTATTTTTAGAGAAGTACTATTATGTAGTTTCTAACTGGAGACTTTTCCGATATTGGTTACTCTGCAGGCCAGAGAGCTAAGCCACAAAATAATTCAGATGTAATGAGTAATGGCTCTCTTCCCACAGTTTTCTTTGGGAATGTTCCTTTTTCGTACACATCATGTTTTGGTTTCTGCCTCACCCCACAAAGCTCATAAGAATTTTGTGTACTAAGCAACGGAAGAACTTACCTACAATGCTGTCAATCTGTAAGTTGTTTGGGCTAGCTGCATCATCTCTGCTGTCTATGTGAGATTCTGCTCTCTCCACGGCTGGTGGATGAGGCTGTCAGAGAAACTACCAGTTATTACTATAAACCGAGAAGAAACAACTCTTTCTCTCTGCTCCAGTTCAAACATTCAGGAAGCCAACAAGAGTTCAGAGAGTCAGACGTTGATGACAGTCTGAGCGTTTAGAATAAGCATTCTTGATCTTCTCAATCATATTAACAATCTCTCAGCTGAGTGAAAGACAAAGCTACAGATCAAATACAGCTGTGGAGTAGTAATACAGAATTCAGTTCCTTGGTGTTTTCCCTTGGAAGCTTAGCCTTTTAAAGCAAGTATTTTATATCCATCTTAAATGCAAGCTTTTGAAGATTAAGCCCCTATCTTGTGTATCTTTACTGATCTAGAGTGCTGTGTAGAACTGTGGATGTACACATTGCTACCATGGTATACATCTTCCTAAGCTACTATGGTCCTGCAGACAAATGACTTAGGGCCTTTGGAGGGGCGGGGAAGGGCTCTCAAGCCATAGCTCTAATCTGGCACAAACGCTACTCAGCCATTAATGAAAAAAAAATCCAGCTTCTTGACTGGAGCTTTGTATAACTTTTCCTTGGCTTCAGCTCACTGTCTGAGGGAAAGCATTTACACAAATGTCCAAGAGCCTGTGATCAACATCCACACTGAAAACTCAACCAAGCTTCACCAGGGAAAGTTACAGCACTCCAAGGAATTGTGAGGACAGCTGTGGAGTTACCAACAGGCACTCACCTTCCAAGTATTCTTGAGAATAATGAAAGTTGCAAGTATTCAGACCCTGTGGGGTATTTCCTTTCACATTGCATTTAGAAAGGACACAGTGAGGAGAGGAAAATGAAGGTAGAAGACAAAGGAGGGAACCACATTGTGAGAGGGGAGGGAGGGCAGAGAAAGTGAGAAATAAGAATTACTGTTTACTTTTGTATCTTGGTTCTCTTCCGTCTCAATGCTGCAGTTTGCGCCTGCTAGCGTGCTGAGTAGGCCAAAGCCTTGACTCCTGTCTGAAAAAAGGGAGCTGTTAGTTTAGTAGAAAACGCAACATCATCCCCAAAGAGCTGCAGTTCACCAGGTAGGATGAAGTCCATCATAGGGAATAGCAGGAGCAGTATATAAATCATGATATAAACCTCTGCCTGTATAGTTTAAAATATTAAACAAATACCTACAATATGTGGATTTAAAATAAGGCTAGTACCTAACCCAACCATCTCCCTGATCCTGCAAACACTTATACACATGGGCTGTGTCTAAACTGGCCTCTTTTCCGGAAAAACTTGCCAGCTGTCTACACTGGCTGCTTGAATTTCCGCAAAAGCTCTGACGATCTCATGTAAGCTTGTCAGTGCTTTTGCGGAAATACTATGCTGCTCCCGTTCGGGCAAAAGTTTTTTTCCGAAAAACTTTTGCGCAAAAGGGCCAGTGTAGACAGCAGAGAAGTGTTTTCTGCAAAAAAGCCCCGATCGCGAAAATGGCGATCGGGGCTTTTTTGTAGAAAAGCGTGTCTAGATTGGCAGGACGCTTTTCCGCAAAAGCACTTTTTTGTAAAAAAGCGCCCTGCCAATCTAGACGTGCTTTTCCGAAAATGCTTTTAATGGAAAACTTTTCCGTTAGAAGCATTTCTGGAAAATCATGCCAGTGTAGACGTAGCCATGCTTTACTTCATGCATGTGAGTAATCCTCGTATTAGTCGGACTGGGTCCTAAAACACTGACATGGTAGCATAATTTTTTAAGTGTTAAAATCAGGGACAAGGACTGTGGGAAGGATTAAAAAGCAAGAGTGTGCTTGGACATGATAGGCCCCGACGATTATTTAGAGAGCAATGCTGATTGGCACTTGGATTCCATCAGCCATTCCTCCCCCTAGTCCAACCGAAACTGTTGGTTTTATTTTCAAAAATGCAGCAGGAGAGTACACACGTGTGGTTAACAAGGGGGTGGAGTTTGTTTCATGTACTGCAGGCAGCATTGGTGGGTGTGAATGTTTGTATTCAGCAAAGGAAATACAAAAAAAAGCCTGTTTATAGATAGCTCTGTTCTCTAAATCTGTGACCCTTTAATGTCATGAACAATAGTTGAAATAATGAATGCAGGATTAATGTAAGGGTCCATCAGGAACAGGACAATGTTTACTCAGACTGCATGATGCTCCATTTCTATGACCATACTGTGTATTTTAAAAAAAAATTTAAATCCCAAGACAGAAACATGGAGCTAGAACTAATTCATTAACCTCTCATCTTTGTCTAGCGTGAGGGGTTTGAAAACTGCTATGTATGACTAAGAGAGAAATCTAACAAGCAACATTTAATGTTGTGACACGTTTTGCAAGGCTGGCACGGACATGGAGGTATTTACACTTATTTGCATACTGTATATGATGGGCTCAGAGGACTTAAAGTATTTTTTTAATAGAGGATTTAGTCAACCGAAAAGTTCAAAGTCTATAACATGCTCTGCTTATACTTCAAAGCACAAGAATTCATGTCAGGAAAAAAATTACTTTAAAAGAAATCTGTTCTACATTAACATTGCACTAATGACAAACTTTAGACCCCATGTTGGATGATGTAATTTTTTTTTTTTTTAAAAACACACATTCCAATTCAATGTGTAGTTTATACAAGATTACTTTTTTCACCAAAACCATCAGTTATCTGGACAATTTGTAAAAATCCCTCAGTAATTTCAAAGAACTCCTTTTCTGTTTACTAAAGTTTGTCACAGAGGGGTTGGTTTGAGTGAGTGATTTTTTGTTCTAAAGCAGCATTAGCCTTTTACCGGGTATTTGTTTGAACTGGCTCTGCTGTATACAGTTTTATTGATGAAACAGGCTACTTGCCAGAGGCTTGGGGAAGAAGTGAATCAGTCGGACTGAACTGGCTTAAAACCTTCAGAGGCAAGAAGTGTGAAAGCATCTGAAGTATGCCAAGTAAATTAGCATGAGGTGAAGTGATAATATATTGGAACCCCCATCCCAATCTAGAATCCCTGAAAAAGTTTCTATAGGCTATGCAAAAGCTGAAAGGGGAAGTTTTCTCCTGAGCAAGGAGATTGAGGCGGCGCCCCTGTATTTGTTGCCCCTAGAGGGGGCCAGCCCCCTCTCATAGAGCTGCCTGCTGCAGGCCAGGGATGAAGTAGGGAGATGCCCCCCCTTAGCAGCTACTGTCTCCCCCCCCACACACTTCGCTTGCCCAAGTGCAGCTCTAGCAATCCACACGCGCTCCACAGACACTGGTTCCATCCTCTCCCAGGCTGGTCAGACAACCTGCTCCAGCCCCCTCCCTTCTGGACTGACACTCTGCCCAATCAGGGCCCAGCCCCCATCTGGCCACAGCATCCTTTCCCAGGCAGGCCCCGTGGCCCAGCCCCTTCTTGCTGCAGCAGAGGTAGGAGGGGAGGCTGCTATCCAGCTGCCATGGACAGATGGGAGCAGCACGCAGGGGGCGTAGCCCTCTAGTTTTATTGGCTGTCAAAATGATTATATCTTCTGGTACAGCACAGGAACGGGGTGAAGCATTGTACAGAATTCTTCCAAGTGATCACTACATCCCTCCCTGAGCAATGGCTGGCATAACTTACGGTTCCATTAGGTTAGCAGCAGCAGATTCTTTGCAGCATCACAAGTGCCAAAGTAAAAAGCAAAGTTTGCAACAGCTGGGAGATGCAAGCTGGCTGTGTCCCCAGCATTGTTTTTAGCAGCCCACTTGCTTACTTTGCAGCCGGGATAGGTTTGATCTATTGAAACACACTTTCCCCACATCCACCCACCCATTGTGGCTTTTCCAAATGCAGATTTATTCACTTTACACCTTTGACTGCCTCCCTGGGACTCTACCCACTCATCCAGCTCCTCAAGTGCAGCAGGGACACTACGCTGTTCAGTGGCTTTTAAACTGCTTTCGCCTCCATTTCCAGATGCAAGATTTGCCCCCAAAATTCTCTGGTTGGAGAGGAGTCAAGTCTACACTGGCCCCTTAGAGCTCTCCCCCAGCACGTGTGCTGTGGTTACACTTTCCATTAAAGTGCTGCTGCGGCTGCGCTTTAATACGGTCTGTGTAGCCAAAGCCTCAGAACAGGTAATATTTTGTCCTGGCTCAGAGCGGTAAACTGACAATCCTTGTCGTTTTGTGAAGGGGAGCTAACAATGCCTGCTTGGTTCCACTGGAAGTTGGAACTCAGTGTTTCTTAAAACAGGACTTCCACACTTCACTGCCTTGGGCAGAAAAGGGGTTAACGCCCTGCAAAGAAGGGAGAAAACTAGTCAGCCCCATGCCAGAGAACCTGCTCAGTCTCTCCCTGGCCATTGAAGAAAAGGAACTGCTTTATTTATATGGCCAAGAGTTACGTTCGCCTCTCCTAATCCAAGGAGGGGACTGACCTGACTCCCAAGACCAAAAGGACTTGCTTTCTCCCTGCCAAAGCTGCACAGCCTCGGAGGAAAGCCTATTTATTTTCCTGTCATTTTGCACTTCCCTTCACCCAAGTGTGTCAAGCTGGCTGCACTTCATCACCGGCACGCCATTCACAACTGCCAGGCACAAAATAGGTATTTCAGATCCATACGGTCCAATGATTACAATTCAGCCATGTTGTACCAAAATGCTCACTGTGCTCCATCATCTCACTGGATAAGAGCGCCTGATTTCTGAGATGGGTGTGGAAGCAGCAAACGTTCTTAGTGGAGAGAGAGAAAAGGAGGCCCCGTAGACTCTCTCAGTTAAAACTGACTTCAAAAAACCCTTTGAAATATTGGAGAAACAAAGGCCTGGATATATTCCAACTGTTAATCTTTTCATATATTCATTCTGTGTAATGGACTCTGAGTAGCTTTAATCTCCTAATTATTTAAAATGCATTTCTTACAAATGTAAAACAGCTGAATCATCTGCATTTAAATTGAAGCAACTACATACAATAGGTATTTGCAATCTAGTTCCAATAGCCACTCCTTGTTTAGAAGTTACGTTAGAAGAAATCCTTATTACGTAATCATCCAATCATTTCCTGTAAAAACCCTCACACAAACAAAGGCAAGAAGCAAGGCCAGGCAGCCAGTGACTTGTGAGGGGTCAGCCAGGAGAGAAGCAAATGTTTTACTTCTGCTACAGCCAGTTTTTAGGCTGAGGAGGAAGAGCTGACAACAGAAGATTGCCACAGGTTGCACAATGTTTTATTTAGGCAAACAGGGCTCTGTTCTCTCCAAACGTAGTTCATTTCCTGACAATCAATGCTACATGGCTACTGCATGGTGGAAGTCTTTAAATCTGGATTCTCAAGAAGTCTGACCTTTACAAAATACACTAGTGATGTATGGGAACTTCCGCTCCATGTAGAATTCAGCATATGACTGAGTCCTGCTCTTCGGTAATACAACATCTGTCAAATGCAGGATGTAAAGCCAGGAAACAAGCTGTCAAAATAAGTCTGTCATCCACTCTAATGAAATGATTTACACAATCTCAGGATGGCTGTTGGTTTTACTGCGCTTACAGCTCTATAAAGTTGAAACCTTTTTTGAAATCTCATTCTGACTTAATACAACAGTCACCAGGTTAATTTAAAACCAATTTCCAGTTTAGTACTTAGTCATGTTCTACTGGAAGAAAAGGTAGTCAGTGATAGGAACTAGTAAAGACCAAAGACCTTTTAATGCTCAGCCGCTGTGGGGCGCACGGGAGGAAGGATGGGGGAGAATGAGCCCAAGTCCTAGAGAAATGTGCTAGAGCAGAGGTGACTTAAACAGGAGTAGGCTAACTTGGTGCCCCCCCACAGCCTTCTTGAGTCCAAGGCACAGGATGTATTGTGTCTAGAGAATGGTTTACCAGTAGCTGAGACAGTAGAAATCTAGGGTATAAATATCGGATTTTAAATATACCCTAGGGTAGTGCTATTTTATTCTCCTACTTTGGAGAGTACTTGGGGAGAGGCCAATATTCAGTTCCATGAAGTCAGACACACAGAACGAATTCCTCAGCAGACCAAGTCTCCTCCTATAACCAAGGGGTAGCCGCTCTTTTAAACTGTTAAGAGCTGCTCTGTGGCTCAGTGTGAGGCAATATAAACCAGGTAGGGAAGTGCACTGAACTAGAGGTAGCGTCATGACAAGTTTTAGAGTCAGAACTGACCTCAGGCAGGCCGCCTCCCTCCCAGAGCTTTCATGTCATTTGATCATGAAGCATCTCTTACCGAAGACAAACACTAGAATGCTTGAATGCAAGCAGTTCTGAGTACTGAGGGAATGCTGGGAGATGAAGTGGGATTTAAGGCACAGAACCTCAGAATTTACCTTTAGGGCACGACACCCTAAAGAAATTGCTGGACAGCCAGCCCCCCATAAGCACTCAGGACCAGCTTGGTTTTTATGTACCGTTTAGAAAGGATTGATCTGGTACAGGTTGAACCTCTCTAGTCTGGCACCCTTGGGACCTGACTGGTGCCGGATCATGGGAGGTCAGTATTGTATAGTAGCGTTACCAACCTTTCCATTGCTTACTGGGCTCTTTAGGGGCAAGTTAGAGCTAAAGAACAGCACAGAACACAGAGCCAGGACTGGTGGCTGCAAACAAGCTTTATGGGACCACAGGAAACTTGGCCACACTCATGATAAGTGAACAGTTGGCTAACTAAAATCATGTTGGATCATGGATGTTGCCGGACCAGAGAGTCTCCGACGAGAGAGGTTCAACCTATACTTTAAAAGGCTGCTGAACTTAAACTCTAGCTATAGGTCCTGAAAACGATTGGCATTAACCCAGCCAGAACACCACCAGGAATAGCCTTGGCTACATACCACTCTTCATGACGACATTGGACCAGACATTGGCATTCAAGGCTTGTACGATGCGGCTCACCCCCGTGGTCTCTGGAAAGTCATCTGAACAAAGACAACAAGACCCATGTAATTTCTATCAATGCTGTTCTGAACCATAACATTCTTGATAGCAGAAAACTAACTTTGAAGAAAAGTCACCTGGTGCATCAGCAGCACAAATGGAACAGAGACCAGACCACATTCCAGATTCCAATTACACAGCTAGCAAACCAACCTGATAAGACCTGATGACCACTACCACTGACAGGGTCAAGGCAGGTCAGAAAACATCCCAACCGTCTCCAGGTTGGGTCAGAGAGGCTCTGAACACTTCCACCTGCTCATGGGAGTGTTGTGATGACATCTGCAGGCTCTCTTCCTGCCCACCACAGTATTGAGAGGTGTGTGCTGGGACCTGTTGGCAAACTCACTCTGCAACACACCCAGCGCAGCAAGGTGGAAGCTGGTAGGAGTAGAGACACAGCAGCTGCTTACATACTGAACCACTGAATAGGATCAGCCATGAGTGTAAGTGCTGGTACTATGCTATTGAGCAGACAGATACTGAAAGGGAAGGGATATACAAAGTAACGTGACACAGGGAAATCATTTCCCTCTTTCATACCCTACAATTTTTGCTAGGTTTTTACATTTTTTAACTGATTGCTCTAGGTCTTCCATGGGTCTAAGCAGCATTGTTCTCTCAGCCTTAAAATGAAGGGTTTGAAATGCTGAACATTTAACAGACAGCCCCCTTGCATGTATCAGACATTTGAATTACAGGTGATACCAAGTCAAACACTAAGAACTGAAATTATGTCCCCTCGAGGTGAAGCAGGTGTCAGAGTATTGCTGTCAAAATTCTGCTCTTGATGGAAAAACTCCTAAACCAGACAAGTCTGGGATTTTTAATGTAAGAAGCAATCCATTCCTCATCCCTCCAATAATCTGACCTTTATACACCTTAACACAGCCAAAAAGGAGGCAAACGCCATTTTCCCTTTGCAGGTCACTCTTAAGTAGACCATAGAAGAGGGCAAAGATGTTTGGCCAGCTGACCAGTTCCTGTTCATAAAGTGTCCATTCTCTACTATTTAAAAGATCTAGGAGACAAAAAGTCTGATTAAATTTTCATTAATTGGAAGACGATTACAGGGAAAGCCTACAATTGTGTCTCTCTGGAAACTCACTCCAATTGCTCCTTAAGTTACTATAATCTGACAGCTATTTTTATTATTTCAGTTTTCTTACAGTGTGCATCTGACAGCACTTTATGTATAGTCAGTTTCACCATTTCCTTGGATTAGTCAGTTTCCCCTGTTTGTGGAGGTCTCTCACAAAGCAAAAGGGAAGAGAAAAACATTTTAAGACAGGAAAATATGACTGCAAAAAAAAAATTCACGAACATCAGTGGGATGACTCATGCACAGGTCTAGTAAGTGACGTTACCTTTAATGCCTTTTAAAAATAGCTTTCAAGGTGACAGTGATCCTTAGGTTTAAAATATAAACAAAAAGCCAAAGAGCAAGGTCTCTCAGGAGACAAAGCTTCAGAGTGACTGTCACAAGGCTGAATTAATAGTTTCTGCTTTTATTACACAAAATAGCAGACAGTGTAGTGACACTGAGAGCTACAAGTCAGCTGTAGCAGCTCCTTTGGTAATTTTGAGCAGATCTTGGCACTATTTCTGTGCTGCATCCATTTTATGTTCCTGGGTAAGCATTTCATGTAACAGGTTTATAGGGGAAACAAGTTACTCATTAGAATGCATGTCTTTCAATGTATGAATCAGTGATATGTTAATGTGAGAAAGGTACGAGAGTTAATGTATCACCACTCAAAAGCTAACATCCTGGCTGATAAGTAATATTACTTAACATATTTGAATCACTTTTAAAAGAAAGTATGTTTAAAAGAAATTTCCATGAAAAAAAAAAAAAGTATTAGTAACTTGTACTACAAAGTTTACAACTCTACCCTGAAAAGTGATTCAAAATGATACTGTGTGGTTTCATACTTGTCTCCCAGTAACTTTTGTTTGCAGGTCAAAACAAGCTCTTTTCCCTGTCATGCCTGCAAACTCAAACTGATCTAAGAGACAAGTTGGGTTCTTTCCTTCTTGTATAGCACCAGTAATGAAGGGCCAATGGAATATGGAACCTTGTAACTATCTGCACAGAGATTCTTCAGGTAAAATTAACCTCTCCTTGACAGTTGTGCATTTCCATCGCATTCCATGTATTTGAACTGACAAGTATTACTGAATAACTATGATGTTTGAGAATGTAGCTGATTGTGTGGGCTCTACAGGGGTAACTGAAACAGTAAACACTTGCCTCTTCTCTACACACAGGAGAGCTGCCTGTGGAGGTGCCAGAACACAACCACAAGAGCAGAACATCACATATGTCACCACAAATGTCAATATAATACACAAAAGATTGTTTCATTAGTTTTAATTCTGAACATACAGCCACACAAGCAATTCTGAAACTGGTTTGTTTCCTGCATAATCTCTCTCTCACACACACACACACACACACACACACACACACACACACACACCC